ACTCTGTTTAAAATGAGTATAACCTAATATTAAGTGTACATCCATATACTAGTTTGTAATATTTAATTAATCACTTAAGTGTATATCTATATGCTAGTTTGTAATATTTAATTGGTCGAGTAAACTATTTTAGAATAGTTAGATCTGAGGGTCTAAGCCATATGTATTTTAACAGTGCTAGATTGGTAGAGTAAGAAGTCAAGGGGGTTACATACGGGTTCATACGGCTGAGTTGAATTTAATTGACCATCCCTAGCGTGATCCGAAGTAAGGTCAGGGCAAGCATTGACCGTTTATGTAAACATAACAGTTAGGGAGCAATGAGTTACTGCGGCAGCATTTATGCCTTTTGTTTCTAAGCCGAATTAGTGTAAAAATACAGATATACTTGGGAATGTGACCTATTGTATATTGCGAGACATTTTATTTATTGAAGGAAACAGCTTTCCTGGATTCACATGAGGAATCCCTGAACAATCACAGGACCAGAACAAATTCTACGCAGAAGTCTAAGTCCAGAGACGATTGTTAAGTCAGAGTTCGACGGACAAGAGTCCAAGACGAAAAAGCTAGACAAAGAGCGGCAGAGCAGGGACGAATAAAATGTCCGCATAAAATAGGTGATGAAGTCTCTCATCGTTGCACTCAAAGGTCACATCTCATTGGCAATGAAGAAAGTATATTAACGTTGAAAGTAATTTTACATTTAAAGAAATTTGTATTGTCTTTTTATTTGAGTACATGTTAGTACCATTTTTCCTTCTTTTGTAACCAAGCCATTGATTTCTTTTCATTTTAAATTCTGTTGATAAACTGATTAAATTTTATATTTGTTCATTGAAAGGGGGCTCGTCGTATTTATTTCTTCAATATACTTGTTCAGTGATCTGCATTCTTCTTTCTATCTATCCACACTGGGTAAATTACACCGCGGAGGTCATTCCCTAGCAACGAACCGTAGTGAAAGAGGTTGGTGTGTTTTGCACGCCGCCAATTTGTCACACTCATTTACCTCCCAATCCTAATTTTACAGAGATATCACAGATACAACAAGATACATAAGATACAACAAGAATTACAATCGCTGATGAATATAATCGATTTGTCAAGTCACCAGAAAGATTTAATCGAAACCTCTAAACCAACTCTGAAAGATTTAAAAGCATGATGAAAAGGCAATCACCACGCCCAGTGACCGAGACAGACGCGGATACATGGATGCCAGAGGAAGAAAATGGACGAGAAGTCTCACAATCTCAGTCGGCTCCCAATCCTAGTACGAGTATAGAGTCAATTCTGATGCTCTGCACAGCTCCCCAACGAGAAGGACTCAAAGACTGAGTCGAAAGGAAGATGACGATCCATTTTTCGGTAGAACCCAAAAAGTTAGAAGAGAGGCGAGAAGTGAATAAATAGAGCTTTTTGGAAGCCTTGGACATCGAGTTACTACTTGAAAAGCATTGGACATCGAGTTACTCCTCGAAAAGCAGAACTATTGAAATATGAATAATCAAGTTTACTTACCTTCACCAAGTGACACTTCCATGGATGTATTCCAACAACACCATATTTTCTTTCACAGCCAAATTATCTCAGGCGATCCAAAGGCGCTTTTGGAAGTCGTTCTGGTAGAAATCTCATGTCAGTCCATAACCTCATTGGAAATCAAGAAACATTGTCCATAACGTTTTCTCCAAATTCGTTGAATATTATGGGTGGAGGCACAAAATATCCCCGAATTACAAAGATATCACCAACAGAGTGATTTTGCACGTATTTTCGATACCTTGTGGAAATTAACAAATGACTGAATTTGATCCATCTTTCTTTCGATATGGTGGAGTACAAGGTGGTGGAAACACAGACTCGCCATTACTGAGTCATTTATTTCAAAGTGTAGTCTCCGTACGAGAATGGTAGAAATACCTATCACGTTCACCTTGAATTTGTACAGCCTTACTATTTGCCCGTCAGTAATGTGCATTTCGAATATGTCACATTAACGCAAGAAAAAATAATTCCTCCAAAATATCATTACCGACCAAGTAAAATCCCAAAGAAGCCTCATTGAGAGCAAAATGTCTTACTTCTCACTGAAAAAGATCTTTTGACTTCTGCTGACTAAGACATTCCTTCATCATTCACCCCACAGCAAGGACAATGCAGGAAGAGACGGTGACACCCATCCAGAGCTCATAATTATGTTGGAGAAAAACCTAGGAAAAGAGGAACAACCAAATAATTAGACGTGTTTGATTATTAAGAACATAATTTACCGATAATCTTGCGAATGATACAAGTTGGAATTGGATCTGTTAACTATGCTACCTAACATGATCAGAATGCGAAAAATCCCAGTGGTGATAATTTCATTCCGTCTCGTCTTTGACAACCTCAGACATTATCGAGTTTGAAATCAAAGGACATAACGAAGAGAACATCGACCTAAATGGCCATCGGCTGTACTTGAAATTCAAAGTTCAGAAAATTGACTATGCCAATCCAGCCGACGGTTCCACAGTAGCTTCCTTCAACAATTATATAATTTAGTTGTTCAGCGAATTGTATTTGTACTTGAATAACAAGCATGTCAGCTCCAGCGTAGATATTTATTCTTACCAAGCGTACCTAGAAAATCTTATGACGTATGTGACACGTTGGAGAAGTTTAACAACACGGCGGTCACAGCAGATGATCCTCAAAATGTGTAGAATTCAACGATCGTCGAAACAAAATAAAAAAAGGAACATTTTAAAATTGATGGATCGTTTGTATTTGGACATGTAGTTCCAAGGAATGGAGTGGATGTCCGTCTGAGACAGAATCAAAGCAATACTGTTCTCCATTTGATGGCAATTGCAAACGAGGAGAAAACCAGCACTCGAGACTCTACTTACAGCGTGTCAACGTTTTATCTAAAGTGAGAAACTTCATCAGTCACACATTGGGCAGAACGCGTACGACATTGACGCTGAACTCCAATCCGAGATCGAAGATGGTCTTTTCCAAGAACAATTACCCGAACGATTAATCATCGGCATCGTCGGCAATGTAGCTCTCGACAGAACTATTCATCAATCAAAGTCTTTTCGAGTTTCAACATTTCAGTATCTCCATGATTGAAGTCGTCTAGATAGTCAGACTTTGCGTACCAGACTCTAAGAAACTCATTTTACCCTGATAAATTACTTGAGATCTTACTTGCCCCTTTACTACTCCACAGGACATTCAGGTGCGAACACAAATACCGCATTTCGTACGAACATTATACAGTAGGTTATGCATTGTAGGCTTTTTTATTTCACTCCTGACTAAGGAAGAGACGAGGGTAATTTCCACCCGATAAAATACGGCCACGTATGTGTAGAACTTAAATTTGCTACTGCTCTAGTGAGGACGGCGAACGTCATCTTGTATGCACCCACCCCTTTCGAATACCGAACATTTTTGGAGATGGAGGCCTGACTTTTTTCGGCCAAAACATGAAGAAAATACTACAGAAACGAAAGACAAAGAAATCATCATGATGCCGACGTCCTATCATGAACATGAAGAAATTTTAATCTTCGATCTCGATAATTCCCTGGCAGACATTCTTAGTTTACTCATCGATAACGACTATAAATGAAAATGAAGAAATGAAGTGAATATAACTCGAAATGGAAGAAGAGTCAAGAAGAAAAGTTTGAAAAGTATGTGGAAGCCTCGTCTAATCTCATCTAGGAAGAAACATTGTTTGGAAATTGGTTTCACGAAATTCCTAACGTGCTAAAGCCTCCATTGACTTGCCTAGAGATTTAACGCATGAACGCTTTCTTGAGAAAGTCGGATATAAAAATCGATAAAATCATTAACTTGGATATCCATTACCTAGGGATTGAAATTGTTAAGAGATTCCAAGGTATGTGGACAACACTGTGCATATTTTCTTCATCAAACGCAGTCTTAGATAACACACACAGAACATTTAGTGACTTGTTCTGATAAATAGTATGCACGAAACCATGATAAAGTAGAAAGATGGTTTTGTGAACAGTATGGTTATATTTCGTCGTTATCAAGGAAATATAGCAGACATCGATGGTCAACTGATCCCGCTCAGCGGAGGTCAAGTTGAGAAACTCAACTCGGAAACTTTGCCTATGATTTATGTTTGTTAATAATGTGAGTACAACATTTATACACGCACACACTCACACCATTGAATATATAGATGGTGTAATGCATAATTTTATTGTAGTGTGAGATTGTATGTTTGTGAGAGTTTATTTCCTTCTCTTACATTCAACATAAGGCGTTGTGGATCGTGTATGTATGGAGGTGCAAGATGTATAAGTAATGTAAAGGGTAGTATTTTTGTGACATGGATTTTATTTATTAAAACTATAAGTTTGAACAAGTAGTCTGGATAATGTGTGTTTTGTGTGTTGAATGATATAGGTGGTGTGTGATTGTATACTTGTGAGAGTATTACGTATCGGCTTGATCAAAGTAACAGAAAGAAAAAGTGAAGACAACAAGCGTTGCAAGTTTTAGCAAAAATAATGTATTTTCTTAGAAAACACGGTGAAAATTTAAAAAATGTGAAACATGACTTACGATTTATGAAGAAAGACCAAACATCTGTCCTTGAATTGTGAAAAACATGCAAGTCATATCAATAAATAGTTATAAATTAAGCTAGTCTGAATCTCAATTCCATTCCAAGATGAAGGATGATGACGTCAGACGACGTTTAACACAAATGTCCAGAATTTTTACTTTAAATCACAATTTATACTGTTCTGTTCAAAATTTAGAATTATTTTTACCAAAAGTTTGTCCAAGCAAGTTGTGTGGTTCTCCAGGGAAAAAAATATTGTTTAACAAGTAGACTCACTACAGATCTACAACAATATATATCTCGTTCTTCAAACGTACAAACAAAAAACTATATCTACCAATTAATGCTGCGCGCCAAGCGAGGCAGCTGTTAGTACCATTTTTAAAAGTCTCTGGTATGACTCGGCCGGGGCTCAAAACCTGCGAACCCACGCCTCCAGCATCCGAGGCGGACGCTCTAACCACTAGGCCACCTGAGTGGTCATTAGAAAAGAATACATTTCTTCAAGGTAAATAAACGAATCTACTAGGTGTTAAATATGACTATTTCTTACAAGTAACTTAGTATTTAAACTGAATGAGAACGTCATTTCATGGACATCAACGAAAGACACGTGATTTCGAAATCTCATCAGGCATTTATAAAGCAATAACAAGAATAATCAGAAATGACCTCGGTATCAACCGATCATCTATCTTCTAGCCTGTTTATCAGAAATCAATCTAGAAAGATTGGTTAATAAATCCTAAGAGACATATTTAGTTCTAAATATCATACCCTGCGAATATAGTCGTCATCATCATCATAATAAAATATAATGATACAAAAATGAGATAGAAAGGATTCAAATTTTAACACACAAGTGATTAAACTACATGGTCGTAACAAGATTTGGGATAGTATAGGTGGTGTGACGAATAGTACTTTTATGATGATGGATTACGCCAGAATAAACCCATCTGCACCATAAACTATTCTACCATATAACCGTTTCTGCCTTATAAACTCATTCACATGTTAAATTCTCGTTGTAACCCCAAATGCCATTCTCATGCTAAATTCTTGCTATGCCCCCAAGTGCCATTCCCATGTTAAATTCCCGTTATAACCCAAGTGCTTGAGGTCGTTGGTTCGAACCCCAGCCAAGTCATACCAAAGACTTTAAAATGTTACTAACAGCTGCTTCGCTTGGCGCTCAGCATTAAGAGGATATTGTTATGACTGGTTGACCTGATGTCAGGATAATGTAACTGGATGGGACATCATGGCACATGTCTGCGTCACGATGCCCCATTGCTAGACATCACTACAAACTTTCTCATGGAAAATATCGTAGTGATATGACTGAAAAATTGTTAAAGCTACGTTAAAAATCTAAATCACATACATACATACATACATACATACATACATACATACATACATACATACATACATACATACATACATACATACATACATACATACATACATACATACATACATACATACATACATACATACATACATGTTGTTGTTCGTCCGTCGAGTCGACGAAGACCACTCTAGTCATCAGTGAGTTGGAGGGGCTTGTTCTGTGTGTGCGCAGGTGGCTGATAAGGCCAATCCTTGCACGGAAGGTTCGGTTGCAGAATGGACACGGGATAAGTGGGATATCTCCAGGAAGGTCGCTGGCACGCAGGTGCTTTTCTGACTTGCCTCTTAATCTCTGCAGCTGCTATCCTACTCGATTCGCACAGTTTAGAGCCTTTGTGCAGATAGGAACGCCGAGTGACTCGATCGCTAGCTGTTTGCTCCCATGAGTCAGAGTTTATGTTGAACGCTTTCAATGCTGCTTTCAAATTGTCTTTGAAGCGTTTCTTCTGACCTCCGTGGGATCTCTGTCCTTGCTATGGCTCGTCATAGAAGAGTCTCTTAGGCAGCCTGTGGTCTGGCATGCGTACAACATGTTCCTATCAGCGTAGCTGGGACTGCATCAGAACGGTGTGAATGCTGTAGAGACCTGCTTTGGCTAGTACCTCAGTGTTTGGAACTTTGTCCTGCCATTTGATGTTAAATATTTTTCTGAGGCTTATGGTGTGAAAGTGATTCAGCTTCCTGGCATGGCATTGATACGCCGTCCACGTTTCGCATGTGCAGAGTAATGTGGGGAGTACAACTGCCCTGTAGACCCTTAGTTTGGTCGTGATGCTGATGCATCTTCTATTCCATACATTCTCATACAATCTACCAAAAGTTTCACTGGCTCTGGCAATGCAGAGGTTCACCTCATCGTCAATTATGACACTCTGTGAAACTTTGCTGCCAAGGTAGGTGAAGGGGTTCACTACGTTGAGTTTTTGGCTGTTGACGGTGATGTTTGGCTCAGTATAGGGCTTTCCCCGGGCTGGCTGATGCAGTACTTCAGTCTTCTTAGTATTGATGGTGTGACCAAACCTTTGCAGGAACTGGAGAACTTGTCAACGCTGCATTGTAGGTCTGCTTATGAGCCAGCATTTAGGGTGCAATCATCGACAAATAAGAACTCCCTGATGTTGTCTGTCATAACCTTGGTTTTCGTTTGTAGCCTCCAGGGGTTGAACAGTTTTCCATCTGTACAGTACCTGATGCCGACTCCAACATTTCCGTCTCTGAAAGCTTTAGTCAGCATGGCGGAGAGAAAAGACTAAACAGTGTAGGTGCCAGAACACAACTCTATTTGACGCCAATGGTTACTGGGAATGGTTCAGATGACTCTCCATTATCCTGGACTCGCGCCTGCATGCCGTCGTGGAATTTCTGAACCATGGATATAATTTTGTTTGGACAGCCATTACTTCCCATAGTCTTTCTCTGCTGACAGTATCAAATGCCTCGTTCAAATCGATGTAGATGGAGAAAAGGTAAGCATTTTGCTCTTGACATTTCTCTTGTAGCTGCCGATTAGCAAGCACCATGTCAATAGGCACACCTTTTTTCCGGAATCCGAACTGGCTTTCTGGCAGGAGTCACTGATCAAGTTGCATAGTGAGGCGGTTCATTAGGATTCTGGCAAGTATCTTTCCTGCGATTTAGAGCAAGGAAATACTCCGATGGTTGTCGCAAACCTGGCGGTTTCCTTTGCGTTTGTATAGGCGGATTATGGAAGCATCTTTGAATTCCTGCGGGATTGTCTCCTCTTGCTGACAAACCAGCAAGAACAGTTCGTGGAGCCTTTCAATCTGCTGGGATGGCATCTGAGCCGGGAGCTTTGCCAATGGATAGCAGATGAATCGCTTTCTGTGTCTCAGGCAAGGTTGGAGGGTCATCCAGTGCTTCGTTAATGTATAATTGAAGGAGACGGTTGATGGTTTCCTTCTTGATAGATGAAGGGCGATTCAAGACTCTGTCAAAATGTTCTGCCCATCGTTCAAGAATCTTCTCTTTGTCAGTAATTAGAGTGTTACCATCTGCGCTGAGAAGGGGTGATGATCCAGAAGATGTAGGTCCATACACTTCTTTCAAGGCGTTGTAGAATTTTTTTCATGTCATGCATGTCTATGTAGCACTATATCTCATCAGCTTTATTGCTAAGCCAGGTGTCTCGCATCTTACGGAATTTTTGCTGAACCGTTCTAAGTATGTTGATGAATGCATATTTACTGGAGGTGGAATTGGGGTTGTTAAGGTAGGTTTGGTGGAGGCGGTGTTTCTCAACCAGCAACTGCTTCATATCATTCAGCCTAAAAGATGCCCACAGGAAAAGAAGGCTCTTAAAAGACTGAACATTGCCAAGCTAAAACACTCTATTACAAAACATTCGCTAGTAGATACCTGGAAGAATGTCTGCAATCCACCCCTCAAGCAAATCAGAATGTTAACACCGAATGGGTGGCATTAAGAGAGTTGGTCTACAGCACAGCTTCGGAAATTCTAGGACCCGCAAATAGAAAGCACCAAGACTGGTTTGATAAGAACTGCGCACATACATACATACATACATACATACATACATACATACATACATACATACATACATACATACATACATACATACATACATACATACATACATACATACATACATACATACATACATACATACATACATACATACATACATACATACATACATACATACATACATACATACATACATACATACATACGTAAATGAAACATGCTGTCATAAAAATGCCTGTCGAATGGATGTTTAAAATTGAATGTCCTTCAGTTCCATTAAGAATCGCTTGCAAGGATATGTCCACAGCTTTAATTAAATACACAAAAATATCGAACTATATTCACAAGTAATCACACTCTCGGCAATTTTCTCACATAATAAAATGTCCAAGAAGGTTTTGGATCCCAAATTTAATTATATCTGGCAAATAAAAATATAACAAAGTTTCTTTCTTCATTAAATATAATGAAAACGTGTCTTACATTTTTAAATGCCTTAAACAGCTGAGAAAATAAATCATCTCACACTTATTTTGAGTATGCAATTCATTTTATTAACAACGCTTCAGTTTATACAGGCTCTTTCATATGCAGTTAAATTCTTATAACAACCAGTGTCTAAACGCAAAGGAGCCGTTCCACTTCCAAGCTTAAATTGATTATACTCTCTGTTTAACTTATAAAGCAATTATAATTATTCTCTACCTAAAAATTGTTTTTAAATAAGCTGTAAATTCTTAAGTTATATCTTATTATTGTTATTACCTCCATTTCCTGGTTTACATTTTTGTCTGCTCCCATTGATTTACATGTTTGTCAAAAATACGGCTCTAAAAGAGTGTTAATTTATTTATTGGTACCTAAGGTAAAATGATAACAACTGCTCCCTTACTCTGAAACTCCATTTCTTATAGGAGTTATTAAATTTAAACTAGATTATTAATTTTATCATTACTCAATGGTATAAACACTATCAATGAGTACAGCAAAAACAATAGCAATGTGTAAAGCACAATCTATATAAATGAGTACAGTACAAATGATATCAATAAGTATTGTGCAAACTATATCCACGAGTATAGTACATACTATATCAAAGAATATTCTACAAAAAATATCAATGGTTATTATACAAACGACATCAACGAGTATTCAGAACGTAAAACTATTTTTTTTACATTGACGTCCAGTCCATAGTACCATTAACTGAAGCTTTTTCTATTTTCCCCACACTTAATATGACCCAGATGCATGTTTGTCGTGGATGAGTGAGTGAGCGATCACGGTGCACGAAACGCACGATAGGGGCGCTAAAGTTGATCCTGTGCCAGTTAATATCAGCCATTAATACTTTCCTCTCATGTCCAGACGAACAAAACCTTATTCATTCTGCTTATGCATAGACATATATTGCTCGTTATATTTCGTGATAATTTTAACATTTAAAGAATTCTCGTCTTTGTGTCTGGTAAAATTATCATTTATGTTTTTATGCTGATATCTTCAAATACCCGCGTGCCGGTGATGTATCGTATTGGTCTCGTTTGCAGTATTGTATATT